CAGCCCATGAGGATGGAGGGGGTGGCCTCTCTCTACCAGGGCAGCCCCGGCCCATGAGGATGGAGGGGGTGGCCTCTCTCTACCAGGGCAGCCCCGGCCCATGAGGACAGGGTGAGGCGGAGCTCACTCTACCAGGGCAGCCCCAGCCCAGGAGGATGGAGGGGGTGGCCTCTCTCTACCAGGGCAGCCCTGGCCCATGAGGACAGGGTGAGGTGGAGCTCACTCCACTAGGGCAGCCCCGGCCCATGAGGATGGAGGGGGGGTGGCCTCTCTCTACCAGGGCAGCTCCGCCCAAGGTGCACTCAGCAGCACACTCACGTGTGGCTCGCAGCGACCAGGCTGTCGTGGCTGACCATGAAGAGCTGCTCCCTGTGTGCCTGCTTCATCTCATCTGAGAGGCCGTACAGGAAGTGGTCCAGGCCTACAAGATGAGCACAAGTGGAGTGGCTGCCTGCTGGGACGCTGCCACCCACGGCCAATGCAGGTGCACCATTAAGCCAAAGGGCCTAGGATAGCCCCAGTCCAGCCCCCCCAACCCAGCCTGAGTCTAGACACAGCCAGCAGATCAGCAGGTCTGGTGACACCAGGCCATGGTGCCACAGCTGCTCTCCTGCTGTGACCACACGTCACCCTCTGACCTATGAGCAAGCTGTGCCCTGTGCCTTGCTGGGTCGTGGTCACTTGAGCTCTGAAATGATAGGATCTGATTCTTTGGAAATGGCCCACAACACGATGCCCACGCCTGAATGAGAAGCAGCAAGTTTCCAAAGCTGATGTTTCAGGTGTCGCGTGTGAAAGCCACACCACAAAGGACACAGGGACGGAAGAAGCTGGAATGGTGGCACTGCTGCCCGAGGTCCACACAGGGGTAACTAGGAACATGTGTGGACACTGTGTGGGGAGGCCCCACCACGGTCCCTGTCCCCTACTCTACTGAGGCCCCACCGCGGTCCCCGTCCCCTACTCCCCTGAGGCCCCACCGTGGCCCCCGTCCCCTACTCCCCTGAGGCCCCACCGCGGCCCCGTCCCCTACTCCCCTGAGGCCCACCGCGGTCCCCGTCCCCTAGTCCCCTGAGGCCCCACCGCGGCCCCCGTCCCCTACTCTCCTGAGGCCCCACTGCCTCTCCAGTACCTTTGTCTGAGGGAGCGACGGGAGCGTCCACAGCTGAGAACACAGACAGCTTCGCCTCCTCCACGTCCTGCTGTGTGAAAGCTCCAGACTTAGCCCAGTCCACAGCTTTCCCAAAGGCCTGGAGCGTTTCCATGGAATTTGGATCCCTAAGAAATTGCAGCATATTACCAATAGAAAAAGTCATGGTCCCATGTGGACATAATGATCCTTCCACAGGGTCTGTTTGCTAATGGCTCTATTTTAACATTTAACAGTCCAGACGACCCCCTGGCCAATCACTTCGTGTAGAAACCTAAGTCTGACAACACTGCTGCCCACATTCTCCCCCTGCTACTGCCCAATGGGAAGTGGGATGATAGTGAGACTACAGAAGACGGCAGAAAAGTTGGGGGGAAGGAAACCCCAGGCTTCCCCAGACGTGTGGGAGAGGTGAGGACCTGCTGGGTGGGCCGCTTCTGAGAACCTCCGTCCCAGTGCAAAGGCTCCCTGCCCCATCCCTGCCGGTGCCCACAGATTATCCTGGAAGTGAAGGGGGCTGGGACCTTCCCCTTCATCCAGAAGTGTATCTCCTGGCAGGCGTGGCCAGTGAGACTAGGGGCCTGAGGGTGGGGGGCACGGGGTGACAGGCATGACAACCACCCTCCCTTGTTCCCAAAGTTGAGAACACGTGTTGTCCTCAGGCAGCAGGGCTGCGGGAATTACTCCAAATAAAAGGGCAGAAAACAAGCTTGGAGAGCTCAGAGGGCAGCCATCCTCATCAGGGACAGTGCCTCCGGGAGGGCTGGCCATCAGACTGTACCGAGCGCTCTGGACACTCTGTTCTCCCGCAAGACACACCTGAGATAAAGCTCGATTCATACGTTAGATAGATGAGATTAATAACAAAAACATCCCTGCACTCTGGGGCCATTCTGAGTAAAACAAGGTTAACTTGGGCACAAGCAGGGCAGGGCCTCAACAGGAGACCTGGTAACCTAGATGCCCAAGGAGTGATTTGGGGTAGAAGGTGAGGATGGTGAGGGCAGGGAAGGAGGGAGGGCGGGGGGATGGGAGCAAGAGGGCGGGGAGAGGAGAAAGAAGGCAGTGAAGGCAGTCAGGGAGAGAGGGAAGGAAGGAGGGAGGGAGGGAGGGAAGGAAAGAGAGAGGGAAGGAGGGACAGAGGGGGAGAGCAAGAGGGAGGGAAAGAGAGGAGAAAGAAGGCAGGGAAGGCAGTCAGGGAGAGAGGGAAGAAAGGAGGGAGGGAGGGAAAGAGGGAGGGAAGGAGGGACAGAGGTGGAGAGCAAGAGGGTCGGAAAGACAGGAGAAAAAAGGCAGTGAAGGCAGTC